CTAACTCTGCTTTAGTTTTCTTTCTATAATCACCCCTGAGGTTATAGTATACTAGAGGCCTGGTGCACAGATTTGTGCATGGGTGGGGCCTGGCCTGCCCATCCCAATTAGCTGATTGGGCTGGGCCATCCAGGGGGAGGGGCCAAAGGTAGTTCGTGGGCCAGCCTCGTTGAACTCCCTGTTGAGAGGACAATTTGCATATTAGCTTTTTATTATATAGGATATCTACTTGTTCATTACTTGTCTTTCTAAAATATTAGCTCTTCATTAGACTTTCTGTCGCTTGAGGGCAGAGGCTGGTTTTCCTCACTGCTATATCCTTAGCAGTTTGATTAATGCCTGCCACATGTTAGGTGTTCAATGAATATTTGTTGAGTGAATGAATGAACAAATGAATGCATCTTCAGAGAAATGTAAGAATAAGGAAGTTATCTCAAACATGAAGACACCGAGCCTGCAACATGCTACAGAATTTACTAGCCTTGGGATTCTGTGAACAGAAATTCACCTGGGGAGACAGAAAGGTCAATTGCTATGATATTTCAGAAGTGAGGCCATCATTGAACATTCCTCAATGTATGGCTGTCTTATCAGGGACCTGCAGAAAGGCTCTCGTCAAAGGAAGGGATGCACACAGTACTGCTGACTCCCCTGTCCCTAAGAAAGCAATGGTGACTGTCCCTGCCATTTATTATTAAACAGGTACTCTATCGGTCAGACCAGCAGCATTAGGAAGGTAGGGCCTGTGGACTAGAGTCAGATAATAGGGCTTTGATTCCTGGCTCCACAGCTTTCCTCCTGAAACCTCTGTTTTCTCATCTGTAAAATGGGGCTTATCATAGTACAGACTTCAGCCCAGCCATTGTGGCTTGAGTGTCAACCCATGAACCAGGAGGTCATGGTTCCATTTTCAGTCAGAGCACAAGCCCGGGTTGTGGGCTCAGTCCCCAGGAGGGAGTGTGCAAGAAGCAGCCAATCAATGATTCGCTCTCATCATTGATATTTCTTCCTCTCTTTTTCCCTTCCTCTATTGGAATTCAAAAATAAAACATACCTAAAAAAAAAAAAAAAAAAAAAAAAAAAAAAAAAAAAGTACATACTTCAAAGAGCCCTTGCTGGATGAAATGAGCTGATCCATGAAGTTGGTATTCATGTCATGGTAGCAAGTATTCCTTTGTGTTTTATTACATGGCCAAACCTACCTCTACCAGAAAGCCTTTCCCCTTTGGCCATTCTCCTCAGTTATGGCAACCCATCTCTTGAGCTCCCAGGTGGAAATCTGTGCTAATGGGGTTATACCAATTGGCTTCAGAATGGTGCTCTTATCGGCAGTTTGCATTTTCTCACCTGATGAGAGTGAGGATTCCCCGGTGCAGTGCTCTCTGAGCTGGTCTGCACAGTGGAGAAGCTGGATGAAAAGATGCAACTCAAGAGGACATGCTTGGGTCTTTCCTTTCCTTCCAGAGCTGACCTGTCCCTCGCGGCCACACTTCCTTTAGCCGGCATGGGCATTCAGTTCCCTGTGCCCCTGCCTTACCTCCCTGCAGCACTAACCACAGCTGAACCGCATGTGCCTGTTTACAAGTCGATTTCAGGGTCCCAGTCCCAGTAAACAGCATGAGACAAAGGCTGGAGGTGAGACTTAAAAAGGCATCCATAAAGGTGACTGTGGAACAAAGGGAGAGTCGAGCGGAGAGACCAGAGTGGCCGGCCAGGACCAGGCTGCACCCACGTGAAGAATTTGGGCTCAACCCTGAGAATAGAATGGACTTGCTCCAAGCCAGGAAAACAGGGAGCTCGTATTCTCCTGCAAGACTGTCCCCAGCCACTTCATAACCTACTTCATTCAGGCAGATGTTCTCTCCCTCAGAATGAACTAATGGGAATATCAGTTGCCCCATTTGGTGGGGGAAAAAATATCGCTTTATAATTCCTCAAACTAAGGTGAGCATAGTCTGCATTTCCTTTTTGAAATGAGGCTGGCAATGAAAAGAAATAGTGTCGTATTTCAAGTCACAGAAAAGAAGTTTTAAGCTTAAGGAGAGACATTTTTACCCTGCCCTCTCTCTTAGACCTTATTTATCCATTGAAGCTGGACATCAAGTGGAGGGAATTCTCAATTTTCTTTGGAAGGGAAGAACTGTGTCTGCATGGGAAAATTTTTTAAGAAGGAGAACAAGATAAAAGTCGGATTCATCAGTAAATGACACGCTTCTTGAGAGCAAGCCCCATCTTTACACGTGTGTTTCTACAGCAGCCGGGAGGGAACTCATTGCTCTTCAAGTTTTAGGTACCTTCCAAGAGACTCTTGAAATGTAAAAACCAAATCTGGAATTAAGACGAGGCCAAAAAAAAAATAATAATAATAAAAGTCTGGCTTTAAGGTTTTTAAGGCAACCCCCCAAAAAAATGCTCTTAGAAAAAAAGTGTTTTTTTTTTTTTTTCTTAAAGGACTTAATAAATGAGTTCACACATTTAACTGAGTGAAAGGGTTTCTGTTGGACACAAATGACGATAGATAAACAACTTTGTTTTTTCTTCTGCCTGAGCAGAGATGGAAGAAACAGGATTGTGGGCTGACGATCAAACAGAATGAGAGCCTCTTTCCGGATGCCCCGAAGCCGGCCATCTGCTCTTACCTTAGCGGTTATGAAAGGCTCTCTGGGACCAGCTGAACAAATGGGATCCTGTTCCTTCCTTGGGAAAACTTGTTTATACTGTATCTGTTTTTAGGCCTCATAAAAGTTGGTGAGCTGCGTCCCTTCCCATTAGCCTGAATTCTTCCACACTCAGCAAACAGCAACAGGAAAGGGCCTCAGTCATGGATAACAACGAAGGCAGGAAGCTCACATGAGGCCCTAATGAGCTGGCTGCCCTGACAGAGCGAACGACACAGAGACACCCTCTCCAGCTCGTGGTTGCAGGATGTCGGGTTTGAAAAGACAGGAAAGATGCCAAAATGTAGGGAAATGTATTCTGACAGTGACAACAGCATCATCTCTTCCACAACTCATACAGGTCCTAAAGGATTCATTTGGGAACTGTCAAAGCTTTCAAAGAGAAAACGATCCTCAGTGGCTGAAACCTGGTTAAACAAATATCACTGGGTAAGGAAAAACCAAGTAACTTTTGAAAGTGCTGTGGAGGGAGGAATCTCAAGCAGGAAACCAGAAAATGACCGTGGCAGCAGGAGAGCAAGTGCCATCCCTGGGCAGGGTCCCAGGGGAGGAGGGGAGAATATAGCAATGTGCTCAGGGGCAGGGGGTGACTTGGGCCCGTCCTGGGAAATTGGCTGAGCGTGTTCTAAGCAGGAGGAAGAATCAGAGCCAGCACGCGTGTCACCCAAATCTACCTCGGGTGAAATGTTGGGTAGACTAGCCCAGTGAGCCAAGCTGTGGCCATCAAAGCAACAAAATAAATAATGATTACATCACAGACCCGTAGACTAAAATAAATATCCACAACTCCATACTGATATAAATTCATAACTAAATAAGTAACAGGGAGTGATGAAAGCAAGTATAGCTATTCCTGACAGTAGAATATCTATAATAAACACAGGAGGAATAAAAAAACAGAGAATCGCTGTTAGAAAAAGATTACAGTAATAATTATTGCAGGCAAGAACAACTCATGGAGCCTAAATTTATTAGGCAGAATGATAAGGAAACAGGTCTAGTATCCTTACTGTGTACGTGTTTAGTGTCTTTAGAAACGGGTCAAAGTACCTTTCCACAAACTAGGTATGTATTCATTACAAATGGAAAAAACGTAGTTACTGTATAGGGAAGAAAGCTGGTTGACACCATTTGCACCAAGTGACCAAGGTGAACTGGCTCCGATATGAGACACAGAAAAGGACACAATATCATTTCTGGGGTATTCTTGCCCAAAATATATAGCTTCAGTCTAATCATGAGAAAACATGAGAGAGACCCAACGTGAGAGACTGTTTATAAAATAATGGGTGTGAATTCTTTGTAAGTCTCAAGGTCATGAAAGACAAAGATAGACTGGGAGCTGTCACAAGTTGAAGGATGCTAAGAGGGTGTGGACAGCCAATGTTGTGGGGGGACCTGGGTGAGATTCTGTTCCAGAAAAGAACATGCCTAGGGACTTGGAAATTTGAATAGGTTCTATAGATTAATTAAAGAGTATTGTCCCAATGTTAGCTTCCTGTCTTTGCTATTTCTGAAACTATTCTGTAAAAATCTAAAATTATTGCAAAACAAAGAGCTAAAAATAAAATTGGAATTAGGTTGGCTAGACTTAGCAGTCAGCCTGGACCATGTTTAGATCCATAAATTTCTAAGTTGGGATCTCAGACCCTGATGGAAACTACTGAGAAGAGAATCAGGCAAGGATCAAGTACTGTAGACCTTAGCCATTCTCATGTCCAGAAAGCTCGGGGGACAAGGGACCAGTACTCTCTAAGACAGTGATATCACCCCTGCACCCCTGAAGAGTGCTGCATTCCTCATAACCTCTCTTCGTGCAATTTTTCAAAACCTAAACAGATACATCAAACCATTCTGCTTGTTTTTCCCAGCAAAGGAAAGTCCTGTCCATAAAAGTAAATTTTGAGTCAAATCCATATCCCAGACCTTATAATTCTGAGTAACATTAAAATACAAAAAATACAAAAAAAAAAAAATCAGATATTTTTCTGAACAGTATCCATTTGATAAGTAGAAGTAATTCTTAGTATTAGTGTTTATCACTTTCTACATATTCAAGTATCTGTGGGAAGCTACATCAAGATAAAGACTTAGACTTTACGAAAGGTGATAAAAACTTTATGCTCCAAACATGGGGTTTCAAGTTAAAGACCTAGGCTTTTTAGCATAATTCCAAACCCTACTCAGATGGCTATGTACTATCACATCTTAACTAGGTTCTCATTGTGGGGCTGACTCTTTGGCAACCTTGGAATCCTGTTGGAAACAAATAACATGACATGAGTGTGAAGGCGCATGCACCAGGATGGGGTGCATACATACCTCCCACAGCATTGCAGCGAGACGTCATCTCCCAGAGCACCAGAGCCATGGAGTATACGTCTGTCTGCTTGAAGGACTCGACATTCTCCAAGTTCATCCTGGACTCTAAGACTTCTGGGGCCATGTATCTTGCAGTTCCCACCTAAAGCAAAAGCAGACATGGAGGCCCATTATTTCATCCCAACTGCATTTTTATTTTCTAAATACAGCTGATGTTTGTCCCCTACATTGGGTAGATAATCTTAGAAAGTACAACGCTCTTAAATAAGGAGATCTGCACGGAAAGGTAGACCTTATATCATTGTTTTTAAAAATAGGATGTTCTCTTCCTGAACACCCTTTAAGGAGTATAAACAAAACATGCCGAAATAAGGAAATGCCAAATCCCAGAGCTGCCTTGTCCAGCTCCGTGATACATGTCACCATATTTTACAACAACATCCTTGCAAGATAACCTGAGAGGCAACATCTGTGGTACTTCAGATGTTTATTTTTGCTTTTGCCAATAAAATATTTCCTCATTCCTGAAATTCCACAATTTATGGTGGAAATAATCATAAATGCCAGTGGTCTGGGTCACTTAAGGGCTGTCTGAATCTTCTTTGTAGTGCCGAGGATTTAGAATAATTTCATAAAATCTCTACCAAATGAAATTGTATGAAATATTTCCCCAGTAAAAGACCAAATCTGGATCTTTGTGTCATTTCATTTGCTAAAGTTATTATGATAATATGAAAATTATCTGATAATTATTACTGATAATTATCAATGACTGATAATATGAAAACAATGAGATACAGAGGAACAGCAAAATATTTCTAGGAAAGGAATCGCTGAAATGCTTGCTGATGCAGCACCTATAGAGCTAAATAATAATGGAGTCCTCCCTTCTCAAGAATCTAAGGAAAGTCAAGTGAGCTGGTGTTATTAACCCAGAGAATGTTTTTTTATTGGCATGCATTACAAGACATTTTTCTTTTTAATAGGTCATTGCATGAGTCATTCTCCTGGCACATTGATCTCTTCGTGTTTCCACATGTTTACCTCAAGACTGCCTGAGCAGTCATGGACCCAGGGGGCTGACTGGGCAGTGACTAAAGGCTTCAGAAGCACGTTCCTCCTCCCGGGTAGAGAAAACATTGGTGCCCTGGAGATTCCACTCTGGTCCACAGTTAAGCCTCCAGTGTGGGAAAACAAGGGGCCACGTCATTCATAAAGGATGCTGGTAATTTCTAGTCACTTCCCAATAGCTCCGTAGCTAAATGGTTTCTATTTTACTCTGCAAGATGCTTTAAAAGTGGAATTGTTTATTCACTCAGCCCATCACTCACACAATGAATGCTCCTTGGACACTTTCCCTGTTCAAGGCATTGTGCTAGATGGGACCAAATGGGCGTGGATTTGTACTCCATGGAGAGTGCCTTCTAGAACAATGTAAAACAATAAAACAAAAAAACACACAACTACTAACAGTACTGAGTATAGCCATCAGAGAGGAAAAAAATAGATATAAAGTGCTAACTGTTTGAAGTACAAAAAAGTAATTGGCAAGTGGAAGAGAAATGAGGATCGACTCAAGAAGAAAAAATGTCTGTTCTGAATTGGGGAGGATTTAAAGAAATAGGAGGAGAAATGCTGCTCATTAGCACCCTGCTAAGAGCGAGTGGGATATAGACAAGTATAAGAGTGTGGGGCTATTTAGGGATGAAGAGGTAGGTGGAGCTAAGGACAAGGTAAGGGGAATCCAGGTCTGACTTACCTGCCCACTGTTGGCCAAGTCATCCACAGACAGAGTGGGGTCCAGACGCAGGGAAAGCCCAAAGTCACAGAGGCAGCAGGTCAGGTCGTTCTTCACCAGGATATTGGAGCTCTTGAGGTCCCTGTGCACGATGGGCATCTTGGGCCTCCCACACAGGGTGTGGTCGCTGTGCAGGTGAGCTATGCCCCTGGCCAGGGAGCTGCCCAGCTTGCACAGGTCCTCCCAGCTGATGACGTGTCTCGTGAGATACTCCTGTAGGTTGCCCTTGGCATGGAAAGCAGTGATCAGCCAGTACTGCTTCCCCAACTCTGTCTTCCGCTCCTCGGCTGTCAGGAACTGGAGGATGTTCTCGTGCTTCAGGTTGATGTCTGAGAAGATGTCCTTCTCCATCTTCCAGGAGGCATACTCCTCGTAAGGGAAGATCTTGACAGCCACAGTCTCGAACTGCTCTGAAGTGTTCTGCTTCAGCTTGGCCTTGTAGACCTCGGCGAAGCGCCCTTTCCCCACCAGGGTGTCCAGCTCGATGGGCAGAAGTTCTGTGTTGTGGTTGATGTTATTGGCACATGTGGAGCTGATGTCAGAGCGGTCGTCTTCTATAATAATGGCCAGGCGCTCACTGAGGTCCATGAGCTTCCGTGGCTTGCTGGTCTCCCAGGACGGGGTCAGCTTCTGCTTCCGGTGGACACGGTAGCAGTAGAAGATGATGATGACGGTGATGGCGATGATCAGCGGTGGCAGGAGGCTGACGCCTGTCACTTGGAATATGACTAACAGTAAGTCAGGGTTGCTGGTGGAATATTCTGATGTGGCAAACAAAAGAGAAAAAGAATTGGGTTGAGTAAGTAGGTACATCCTTGCAGATAACCTGGGAGGCAACATCTGGGATACTTCAGGTGTTTATTTTTGTTTTTGCAAATCAAATGTTTCTTTATTCCTGAAATTCCAAGATTTATGGTGGGAATACTCATAAATGCCATGACTTTGGTCACTTAATCGTCTTTGTGAGAAACTGGGTGTACACCTTACGTGTCAGATGTTTCAACGTCAGTATAGTTTTTATAAATAATGCATTTTGAACTTTTATTCCGTGGATGAATGCAAGTGTGTACCCGTCTCGTCTTCCCTGCCTCTGGCCATTCATTCAATGTTTCCTCCTCTTCCCTCAAACTTTAGCTTAAATGCCACTGTCTAAAAGAAATCTAGGAAAACTTGGAAAATATTTTCCTTTATATAATCTCACAGCACCCTACATTGTTCTTGTGTAACAATGTACCTATTGCAATGAAATAACTATGACTCTACTTAGTGGTTTTATATTTGTCTTTTTCTACTTCCCACCCCAGTAGACTGAGAACTCTGTGCTGGCAGGGACCATGTCTATCTGCTTCACTTCCATAAACAACACCCAGCACCCATCAGGGCCTCAATAAGTGTTGAATAAGTGGAAGAAGTGTTTACTGAGTGTTAACTATACTCAAGGCATTGCAGGAGGCTTTGGGAAGATAGAAAGAATGACAACTCCTACTTCCAAAAACTTGCATATATGGAATCTGGTTTAAACCAAGAGATCACCATAGATGCCCAGAGTCTTTCCTCCAATGTGTCCTGTTCTGATCAACATCTAGGCTACCTGTGAAGCATCAGCTCTGAGCCTAGTGGTGGTGGAGGGAGAAATCTGTGGGAAAGGTCTCTTTGGAAGTCAGTTCTCTTATATTCACCCCATATTCATCTTTTCAGTGTGCATGTGATTTGTAGTTTCACAGAACAGAAATACTTAGTGGCAACAAAGGTGAGAGAAGTTTAAGAAGGAAATATAGCCTGCTTGCTGACTTGGTCACTGAAGCAGGCCCCCTGGTTTGACACCAGCTATTTCATTACAATGCCTCGTATTTCAAACTCTGATTCGTGTGCTGGCCATGGTGGAGGCTGGTTAGACAGTTTTCCTCTTGGGGAGAAGGCCGTGGGTGGAATCATTCAGGGGGCAGGAGGCAGTGAATGGAAGTTCAGTGAGAGCTTTGTTAGGCAAGAATCCCAGATTCTTTATGCGTCTTTCCTCAAAGATATCCTTTCATTAGCAGGCCTCATGCTCAGGTGCTACATTCATTCATTAAACACAGAGCTCCTGAGTTCCTGCTATGGGTCTGACACGGCCCTTAACGAGGTTATAACTCAGTAGAGGAGTTAGGGCAATGCCTAGTTATATATGGCTGTCCAGAGTGGGAGCTACATGTGTGCTGAAGTCTATGTATTGGTGGAAAAGCTTAGAGAAACCGGGAAGACACAGGGGCAAGGACTGCCTTCGAGTTGGGCAAAAAGTTAAAGATGTGTAAAATGAATGTTATGTTAAGAATTAAGAATATATTATCTACTTAAGGAAGAGGAATCCTCCCCACATTGATTATTCTGCATAAGGGAAATAAAAAGGAAAGGAATGAGTAGGTGATATGGAACCAGGCATATCAGATAAGGGATCTATAATTATTCAATTGGCAGTTTTCACTGACTGTAGGCATTTGGGGGTGGGGGAAATAATGAGAATACAGTACAGGTGGAATGGAGATAACCATAATCTCCTTAAGGGAACACATTACCTCTTTGTATCTGATACAGTCATTTAATGAAGCACAACGAGTAAGGAAACTAGGACCACGTCAACTTGGAGTTTTTGGGTTTAATATGATTCACAACTTATTAGGGTAACTTCTAAGTGGAAACACCAACTTCCACTAACTATATATCCTAAAAAAAGAGCCTTAAGTCTTAAGCCTGATGCCATTAAAAACTGGGAAAGTAACCCCAAAACATATTTTCAGCAACTGAAAGAAAAAAAAAATCAATATTTTGAGGAAAGATACATTAATGCATTAAAACAAACAGGAAAAGGGATGCAACTTGACTCTTAAAAAACCTGAATTCTTGCCTGGCTGGTATGGCTTAGTGGTTGAAGGTTGATCTATGAACCAAGAGATCACAGTTCAATTCCCAGTCAGGGCACATGCCCAGTTTGCAGGCTTGATCTCCAGTAGGGGGTGTGCAAGAGGCAGCCAATCATTGATTCTCTCTCATCATGGATACTTCTATTTCTCCCTCTCCCTTCCTTTTTCTGAAGTTAATGGAAACATATTTTAAAAGAAAAAAACAACCTGAATTTTTACTCACACCTGGAGGCTTAAATGGGCCAAAGGATAGGTAGGACTAGGAGTGGACATAACAGTGGGATGAAGCAATAACAGAAAGGAATTGTGGAGACATGTGGACTTTCCCTGGGTTCTGGCAAAGTATAAGCCTGGAGAGCAAAATTAAGGGGACAGATGAGATAATATTCAGGTGCAAAAGCTGAAAACAACATTCCTTCACTGTAACTCTACCTCTATTATCTGAAGTATCCGATGAATGTGTTTGTGTCAAATACCCACTTGTCTGCAAATAGAGATGTTTTATCATCATAAGTTGTGCGCTGCTCTGATCGTTGGTCTCTCCCATGAGAAAGCATGTTCTGCTTGGGGGAAAGCCAGGTGTGTTTTGATCCTCATCATACACCCAGAGCTGGCCTCAGGATGGGGCACTTTCTGGTACTCTGCCACTATTTGTTGTAGAGCTAAATGAATGATGACTTATGGGAGACAATATCCTTCACGTGTTTTATGTTCTGCAGTAGGAGTTGGCAAATTACAGCCCAAGGGCCCATGGCCTATTTTTGTACAGCCTATGAGCAACAAATGTGTATTTTTTCACCTTTAAAGGGTCATTTAAAAAAATAAAACTTCACTGATAGGGAAATGAAAATCAAAACTACAGTGAAAAGTCATTTCACACCTGTTAGAATGGCTATTCTCAAAAAGAAGAGATAAGTGCTAGAGCCCATACAGAGAAAAGAGAGCCCTCAGGCATTGTTATTGTTGGTGGAAATGGAAATTGGTGCAACAGCTATAGCTAACAGTATGGAAGTTCCTCAAAAAATTAAGAGTACAGCTACCATCTGACCCAGCAATTCATCTTCTGGATGCTTATCCTAAGATATAAAAACACTAATTTGAAAGATATATGTGCCCCAATGTTCATTATAGCATTACTGACAATAGCCAAGATACTAAAACAACCTAAGTGTCCATCAATGCAAGACTGGATTAAGAAAAAGTGGTATATACATACAATGGAATACTACTCAGTCAAAAACAGGTGAATTATTGCCACTTGTGATAGATAACATAGAAGGATATTAAGGGTACTGTACTAAGTGAAATAAGGACAAAACCCATATTTCACTAATCCGTGGAATATAAAACAAAAAAGTAACAAACAAACACAAACATGGAAAAGCAAATATAGACACAGATCACAGAATAGTGGTTAACAGAAGAAAAGGAGAATGAGAGGAAGGCAAATGGGTAAAAGGGGTCAAATATATGGTGATCCATGAAAATTAGACTTTTGGTGGTGAGCACACAGTATAGTAAATAGATACTGAATTATAATATTGGATACCTGAAATGTGTACAGTTAATAACCAATGTTATCCCAATAAAAAATAAATTTAAAAAAAGAAGAAGAAACTAAGAAGTTCATGCAAGAGAGTTCATATCTGGCTCAGACAGCCTAAAATATTCACTACTTTCCCCTTTACAAAGATGTTTGCTGAGTACTCTTGCTTCTAAAGATGTTATTTTAACAACCTGTAACACACGGGCAGAATTTGAAGAGATTGTATTTTGATCCATTGTGAATATTCTCTTTCACATGTGAGAAATCAACACAACTAGAAGTTTTTAAATATTAATTGCATAATTACTTAGTTGCATCTCCAATTCATTAAACAGTGCAAAACATCCAAATGAGCTGTTTATCACTCCTAATTTTATAATTCCTGGCCATACAGCAAAAGGCCAGGAATTATAAAATTCTCACTAAATTCTATTCTCTTTCAGGTTAAGAGACACACAAACACAAAAATCCCTGAAATGTATCTGGTTATTCATTGAAGACACTATAGAAAAATACTCCCACCTTCAATGTCAGAAACCAAAGTTTTACTTTCCCCTCAAATTTCCTGTGTTTTCTTTTTGAAAATCTACTGTAAATATCTTGTGGGGAGGGAATTATTGAATAACATCTGTCAATTTTGAAACTTCAAAGAGGCGGTGAAAAACCCTCACAATAGCAAAGGGGCTGAAAGGAAGCTTTGGGATGTGGCTTTATCTAAACAGGAGCCACCCACACCCTCTCCACAGTATTAACCCTTAGGCTGCTACTAAAAATAACAAAACCAACAGCTGTGGGTGTAGGTACCAGCTAGCATCTTCTATACTCAGAGACCAGCAGGAAGTATTTCTTCTCGCCAGCTGCCAATTACACAGAAATCCCTACCTTGAATTCTGGCTGTGTCCTAAGAGTTTTATATACTATTTCTATTTCATCAGAAAAAAAAAATATGAGGCAGAAACTGCTATTGTTATAAACCCCTGTTATAGATGGGAAACATAAAAGGGCCAGATGGTTTAAATAATTTCCCAAGACCATAAACTTGGGCAATAGGAAAACTGACATTTGAAAAGCACCTGTCAGATTGGTGAGACCTCTGCTCTTAACTCTATGCTATAATGCTCAGACTCCCCATTGGTGGGAACCAATTTACAATGACTTCCATGTAACCCCCCAATTTGATAAAAGTTGGGGCTGGACTGAGTGAACAGCCGTCAGTTAAGTGATATCAGCACTTCTTGGATGATGAGTCTTTAAGGGGCATAATCTGAGAATGCCGATTATTTCTCTTTTTCTTAACTAAGTACCACAGTTGTGAGGT